ATCTTCTAATATGCCTAAGCTTGTTGCTCCTAAGGTTGTATCTAAACATGCTAAAATTAATTTTGTGCATATATGTCATTATTGTAGTGTTGAAGGTCATATAAAACCTAAGTGCTTTAAATTAAAATATGCTCAAACTACTTCTTCTAGAAGAAATTTTTCTCAAGGGCAAAGTTTCACAATGCTCCAAGAAAGAATTTCTCCAAGAAAAGTAGGGTGCATAAATTTGTTGTAAAAGATAATTCATGACATAATATTGTTTGTTTTTCATATGGCAAGTATGGACACAAATCTTATTCTTGTTACTTGTCTAAATCTTATGCTTTCAATGAAAATGCAAAAATGAAATGGATCCCTAAGTTTGTTAATGCAAGCTTTCTAGGATCCAAACAAGTATGAGTACCAAATGATCAAATTTAAATTTTCTGTGTTTGTAGGTTTGTTTGAAAGCTTCCAAGAAAAGCAAGTGGTACTTGGATAGTGGTTGCTCRAGGCACATGACGGGAGAYCAATTCAAGTTTGTCACTCTGTCCAAAAAGGATGGAGGTTTTGTAACCTTTGGTGACGACAAGAAATGTAAAATAATAGGTAAGGGTAGTATAGGTAATGAAACTTCTATTTTGATTGAAGATGTACTTTTGGTTGATGTTTAAAAGCATGATTTACTTAGTATTAGTCAATTGTGTGATAAAGGATTTAGAGTTGTGTTTGATAAAAAGAATTGCATCATTGAAAATGCTAGTGATAAAAAAGATTTATTTGTTSGAAATAGAGATGAAAATGTGTATACTATTGATTTGAATGATTGTCCTATTAGTGATAAATGTTTATCGGTCATGCATGATGATTCTTGGTTATGGCATAGAAGACTAGGACATGCCAGCATGCACTTAATTTCAAATATTTCTAAGAATTCTTTGGTTAGAGGTCTTCCCAAGTTTAAATTTGAAAAAGATAAAGTTTGCGATGCTTGTCAAATAGGTAAGTAAACTAAGTATTCTTTCAAATCAAAAAATGTGATCTCTACTACAAAACCCCTACAACTATTACACATTGACTTATTTGACCCTTCTAGAATTGCTAGTTTTGGASGGAATTATTATACCTTTGTGATAGTTGATGATTTTTCAAGATTTACTTGAGTTATGATGCTAAAACATAAGRATAATGCTTTGAAAAGTTTTTCTAGTTTTGCTMAAGAGTTCAAAATGAAAAAAGATTTTTTATTTCTAAAATTAGGAGTRCCCATGGAGGAGAATTTGATAGTAATTGCTTTAGAAAATTTTTGTGAAGAAAATGGTTTTTCTCGTAACTTCTCCGCTCCAAGAAGCCCTCAACAAAACGGTGTGGTTGAAAGGAAAAATCGTACTTTGCTAGAATTTACTACGTCAATGTTTCATGAGTACGGTTTACCTTCATACTTTTGGGCAGAAACCGTTAACACCGCTTGTTATGTTTTAAATATAGTTTTAATTAGAACTTTTTTAAATAAAACTCCTTATGAACTTTGGCAAAACAAAATTCAAAATATTGGGTATTTCAAAGTCTTTGGTTGCAAATGTTTTATTTTGAACAACAAAGAAAAGCTTGGAAAATTTGATACTAAGAYGGATGTTGGTATTTTCCTTGGCTACTCCTGTACTAGTAAAGCTTATAGAGATAAAAAAAAAAAAWTYCATTCATTTATTTATAACAACTTATCTATTTATGCCTTTGAAAATTCAAAATTTAAAAAAGATAAGATTTTATTTAGAAACAACTTTTCAAAAAAAAAATCTTTAAATCTAATCTTTTTATTTCCTCCTTATAAATCTCTACACAAGAAGWTTCTTTTTAAAATTAAAACAAAATYCAATGTCAAATTTGGAGGAAAAAGAATTATTTACTTTTGCACTTTTMAAAAAAAAAAAACTTGAAACAAAATTTTATCTTTCAAAACGGTCTTTATTTACATTTAAAAAAAAACTTCGTAATTTTAAAACAAAATCTATTTATCAAAATCTTTTATTTTCTTTTCAAAAACTTATTTATAACATATTTTAAAATGTTTTACTTTTTATTTTGAAATTAAAAAAAACCTTTTATTAAAAAGAAGTATCATGTACTGGATTTCGCTGTACCGTTGGGTTCTGCCACCGGAACGCAAAGTTAGTCGATCTGGGTTCAGTGGAGTTCGTGTTGGAGGTGGTTGAGGTCATGTTACTGCAAGTCGTCGGATCTGGTGCTCGTCGTTGGGACTCGTGGTTGGTTTTTAGTGGAGGAAGAATGAGAAAGGAAAAAAAAAAGATCGCTATGGAAGAGAAATAGTGGGATTTTAAAGGGAGAAAGAAAATAGTGGCCATGGGAGGAAAATTTTTTATAAGAGAAACAAAGATTAAAAAAAAAATCTCTATTTAGTTCTGTTATGTGTCTCTCTGTGTTCTTCCTCAACTATTCCCCTCTGACATTCTTAAATACATACATATAGCAACGGTAATATGGAGACGGTAAAAGATAGTTAGAGAAAAAGAAGGGAAGGAAAATGAGAGAATGTCACGTACCTTAAAGCTTTGACGAGGAAAAAGAGAAAACAAAATCAGGATTTTTATTTAAAAACAAAATATTTTTAATTTCTTACAAAATCAAATTTTATTTAAACAAAATCAAAATAAAATCATTTTTTTAATTTGTTAATAAAAAAAACCTTAAATAAATCTAATCTTTTTTTTTAATTTAATAAAACTTTACCTTAAAACTAATAATAAAGTAAATTATCTTATTTTTAACCAAAAAAATTAAAATTAAACTTAATATAAAATTAAAATTAAAATTAAAATTAAAACTAAACCGAACCAAATACGGTGTCTACAAAGTAAAATAAATAATAATATTACAATAAAATAAAGTTGAGCCAAATCAAATACGATGTCTATAGTTTGTCACTGCCTAACTGTTTCAGATTTGGAACGTAATGGTTCAGAGCCAAATCAAATATGRTGTCTATAATTTGTCACTGCCTAACTGTTTCAGATCTGGAATGTAATGGTTCAGGCTTTATAGATCTGAACGTTTCTAGACCATTTCGTTTAAGATCTAGAACGAAAGTGGGCGCCAATGATATATGATGAGGGAGAAAGGTGATGCCAGTGGTTTATCACATAAGAGAGAGGAGGAGGAGAGTACCMGATMTTAAACGAAATAGTTCCAGATCTAATATCATATGTATTATTTTCCCTCATTTTTTTAGTTAATTTTTTTGTTCTATGATTCTACTGTTTACACAAGATTTTTAGAGAAATTTTATTCATTGAGTTGAATTTTGATGTTGTATATTTGTGTAGTGGACTTAATGTCTAGTCTTTATCCTTGGGAAATTTGAGGAAATAGACATTCTGTAGAGACTTTTAAGTTTTCTRATCGTCATTTTCAAAACAAGTTTACTAGGTATTTGATGATGTGAAATTATGTATTTACCATTCTTCCACTTTTCTCTCTTTTATCTCCTTTTTCACTTTTCTCTCTCTTTCATTATTATTTCTCTTTYCCATTCTTCAACTTATTCTCTCTCTATCTTTCTTCTTCGTGCCCACAACCCCCTCCCCATTTTTGTCCAGATATCTCCTTTCTCTTCTTTCATCAATTTCTTATTTCTTCCTATCATATTTTACATGATCTGTTTCCATCAATTTCTTTTTTCTAATTACTATTATTCTCTTTCTTCTTACTCACCACAAAAATCAATTTACTCTAAAAACCCTAAATTTCTCAACTTTTTTTTTAAACMAGTAGCCTCCATGATTCAATCGGTAGTGACGGATGCATCAAAGCCGACAAGGGAGGTCGTTCGTCGAAGAAAAAGACTTGGGGGGCGGGGGGAAGGAAGTTTGGCTTACGATGGAGAGCGAGTTGAGCGAGTGCGTTGAGCGAGAGAGAGAGTTGAGCGAGAATTGAACAAGAATTGAACAAGAATTCCCTTATCTTAATTTAAGGGAAAAAAGAAAAGAAAAAATTTACTCTCATATGCCATTATTTAAAATTTTTTATTTGATAGTATCTAAAAGTAGGATTTTTAATGAGATTGTTTTTTATAGTATCTAAAAATTAATTTTGAATATAATGTTTATCAATTCAATATCATTAAACAAATTATAAGGTGAATAATTTCAAATGTTTTAAAATAAAATGTCTTTTATATAAAAAATAATAATAGTAATATAATAAAATTTAGTTAATTTAAATGAAATCATAAACAATATTGAATCCATCAGATCTAAATAAATTTTGAAATAATTGGGTTAAATTCATTAAATATTTTTCTTATTTAAAAGTTTTAAATAAATTTTGAAATAATTGGGTTAAATTCATTAAATATTTTTCTTATTTAAAAGTTTGAAAATTGGAATGGAGAGAAACAAAATCTCAAT